CTTAACATTTTAATCATGATACAACTTCAAATTCACGGACTTGTGTAAAAAGTGACAAAATCAGGAAACAAAACTCCAAATCATCCATGAACTCAATAAAGGGAAATTTCATTCACTTGTATCATTCCTCTGTCATGAATTTGTTTACGCGTATCTGTTGACCGACTTATTTAGTTGATTATTAGCGAATGGCTGTGTTATGTCTGGCATCGTTTAGGCCATGTGAAGTTCTGAACGGAACTTGGCTCAGTGATTTGGAATTAATTACGAGATAACCGTCGCTATTCGGACTACTATTTCTGACAGTTGGTATTCATAGTTATTAATGTAGTGAACGATTAATCAAAAGATATGACGTATTCAGTACTTAGTGTGATTGGCTTTATGATTGAAGGTTACGCCCTAGAGTCTTTTTACTGCTTTGTAATTGGTTAGAGTTTTGAAAATGAATAAAGAGAGTTTTGAGTTGGTCTTGGCGAGTACTCCACGACAGAGGCAGTCTAGAGTCCAGTCCTGGAGAGTCTTGTGCGAGTCTTGAGTCAGCCTTGCGATAGTCTTGGGGACTTTTCCCCAGGGCGCTGTGTCTTATAGAGTGCTCGACAGTCCGACTAAGACGAGAGTTGAAACGTATTTCGTTGTGTGTGTCTTATTTGACTGTAAAGACTTTCTCGATCCCGCATCTCGAGGGGACGAGATATAGAGACGAGACGAGATTCCCCCTGACACGTGTGGAGAACCCCAGAGAGAAGAATTTCCCCCTGATACCTCATTCACTGCGTCCTCCACTTACCAACAAAGCAGCACCTACTATCTGTCTGTAAATCATTTAATGGAGACGTCTAGCTATTTTAAAGTTGATTAGGACACCGATTACCAAATAATATCTAATACCTATCTGACTAGGACGCTAAGACAATGAATCGTTTGCCGTTGTTTTGAACGGTTTTGGCCAAAACATTAAGAAATTTAAGAAAAATACGAGAATATCGTGACGTTTTTCTAGAGGCTCGTCTTGGTGGTTCGAGATAGAAGTCGTGCCGAAGCGGTATGTCTGACGAACATTAGTGAAAATCCAGAGCGTCCGATAGTTCATTTACAAAATAAATTGAGAGATTTATAACTTGAACTTGGTACATAGATGCTATAGAACAATGCATAGACCTGATTAAGTTTGAGGTTAAATATTAATTACCTAATTTGCATAATAATTTGTAAGCTTTAAGTTTTTCTAATTTTATTTCAATGAATCTT